CCCGGAGCCTGCCCCGTGGGCCGGTGGGAGTGGGCACGCCCCGACGCCGTCTCGCAGCGCCTGCCACTTGGGCATTGCACTTCGTCCCCGGGAGAGGACGCGGTACCCGCTGCAGAGGAACCGCTCACAGGCAGCACAGCGAGGCGGCCGTGGTGGGTGAGGCGCTGGACTCCCACGTGCTGGCCAGTTCGGAGCCTGAATTTTAAAATGTTGATAATTATGTCCCTAGACTCCGCGGAGCTGACTGTGGTCCAAGTCCTGGACCCAGCGGCTTGAAACTCACACGCGTCCAAGATTAGGCTGGATTGTGGGGCCATCCTCCCTGGGGGCTGACTTCTCACTTTCTGCCTCTGGTGAGAGCATACATCTCATAAAAACAAACGGGCCAGCCGGCAGTGGTGTGGAGGTGAAGGCCACTGGACTCCCACATGGCTGACCACGGTTTGAGTCCTGGACCTAGCTCTTGCTTTCTCACTTTCTCCCTCTCTGATAGAAAGAGGCAATAAACAACCTGTTAGGAGGGCCGGCGCTGTAGGACAGCAGTTAGGACAAGCAGACCGGGTAATTAATGGTTTGGTTGCTGGACTCCCACATAGTCAAGTATGGTTCGAGCCCCAGGCCCGGTGGCTTAAAGCTCACACCGGGCACATGTGAATATGTGTGGAGGAGAATGGATTACGGAGTGGCCATACTCAGCGAGTACACACACCCTGTACCAAAAATACCTCTAAAAAACAAAAGGCGGCCGAGTCCCACATGGCTGACTGGGGTTTGAGTCCTGGCTGTGGCAGCCTGAAGAGCCTGGCGGGTGTGAGCCCAAGTGACAGGTGAGGCACTGCAGGGGAGAGACTGGGCATGACCAGGCCCATGGGGGGCGCTCCTCCCTCCCTCTACGTAAAGAGCGAGATGGAGGGAAGTCTGGGGGGGTCTAACTCTTGCTCATGACAACCCGAGATTCAAGCGTACCTTGTCCCGAGCTGCCACATTTGGGGTAATTTGTTACAGGGTCATGTCTAGCAAACACACTGCCTCGTCCTGTCTTTTCTCTCCTGAGTGGCGTGACCTACCAAGTGCCAGCTGGGTGCGCGAGGGGACAGCTACTGGTAAACGGGTTTGGAACGTGTCCATCTCGGTGCCTGGTATGATAGCCGGGGCTGAGACCGAAGGGGATGACCTGGCGTGGGTCAGGATGCCAACGTGGGTGCTTGGAGCCACCTGCCATCTGGCCTTCTGCGGGCCCCATGAGACCAGCGGGGGCCCTCGGACTTCCCTAGCCCCCATGGACAGCCGGTCTGGAGAGAGCGCGTCAACACACAAGGCCTGCCACAGCCCTGCCAGGCGGGCTCCGGGAACACAAAGTCCCCTTGGTGAGGGAGCCACATGGAGAAGGCCCAGAACCTCCGGGAGGACACAGGGCTGAACAGGAAGCAGACAGAGGGAGCAGCCAGGCCAGAGGAACAGTGGTCCGGCCAGGGGAGGCACTCTGGGGAGGCCTGGGCAGACGGGACCTGGGAGCTCTGCCGGGTCGCGGGGGTGGGGACAGCAGGCTGAGGCAGAACCCATGGGGACCACACGAGGACGGGACTTGCCTCGGCAGCTGCCCGTGACCTCGGCCTTGCCGGGCCTGTTCCTTCGTGTTCGGGGAGTCACGATGGCGCCAGCCCGTGGAGGGCTGGGGCTCAGGGCCCGTGACTGTGTCCTGAGGTCAGATGGGAAAGTGCATGTCCACTTTCTTGGAGGCCAGGGAGATGGCAGAGCTGCGACCGGACCCTGAGGGACTGCCCCTCACCACTGCCTCCCCTGCATCGGGGGGAGAGGCCGGCTGGGCTGGTCGTGCAGTGCACACAGTTCCCTGGTGAGCGTGGCGGCCAGCAGGTGGGGACGGCAGGGTGCAGGGCTCCCACGTGGCTGCCTGTCTCTCCAGCAAGCTCATTTTTCCTATAGCAAAAATCTCTCAAAAAGAACCAGCAGATGGCATAATGGTTACGTGGCTGGACTCCCACATGCACAGTAGTTCGCGTCCCAGACCCGGTGGCTTAAACTCATGCCGGGCGCATGTGCGTGTGTGCCCAAGATCCCGAGCGGAGAATGGAGGAGAAGGGATTGCAGGGGGTGATTTCTCACTTTCTGTCTCTCTGTCTCTCTGTCTCCTGGGAACTGCATTCTCTATAGCACAAATCTCTTTAAAAAGGAAAAGAAGAAGTGGGACCCGCTGGGGCTAACCCTGAGTCCCAGCCCTCCACTCTCCTGGCTGGGTCTTGCCTCTGGGAACAGTTTCTCCACCTGTAAAATGAGGACAAAGTTCTGGTAGGTGGTTAAGGCTGCTGGATCCCACACGGCAGGCTGCGTAGTTCAAGTCCCGCCCCAGCAGCTGGAATGGGTGTGTGCCCAAAACCCCACGGAGGAATGGAGAAGGCATCCTGCCCGCTGTGGCCATCCCCAGGGGCGGCGTGGCCGGCCCTCTCCCACGGTAGCATCTCATTGAGACTTTAAATCCTTCAGCACGCGGACAGCGCCTGGAAAACCCGCAGGTCCTCACCCGGAGAGGAGCTGGCATTTGAGGAAACTGAGGCCTGTAAGACCGGAGGGGAGTCTGCTGGGGGCTGGAGGGGCAGCAGCTGGCCCGGGCCTCCCGCCGGCC